CGCGGGGCGCCGGGGCCGCAGCCAGATGCCGCGGGCCTGTCTGCAGATGGATGCCAAGGTGACCCGCAGCCAGTCCTTTGCCATCCGGGCCAAGCGCAAGGGCCCCCCCCCGCCGCCTCCAAAGCGCCTCAGTTCTGTCTCCAGTGCCCTTGCTGCCGAGGCAGATGGTGAGCAGCCCCCCAACCCCGAGCAGCAGCCCACAGCCCCCCAGGACATGGCCGACATGGGTGCCAGCCCCGGTGATGCCATCCATGGCAGGATAGCGAAGGGCCTGGCGGCTGCGCTGGAGGGGACACCAGGGGCGAGTCTGCCCAAGCCCCTCCTGGCCCCAAAATCACTGCACATGGCTCAAGACTGTCTCCCTGGGGCAGGTGTGGACGATGAGTCCTATGATGGTGGTGATACCAACAGCACCACACTTTCCGATGCCAGCAGGGATCCTTTTGAGAGCAGCAAGCCACGGAGACGGACATTCAGTGAGCCCAGTGCTCCCATGACGGAGGTGGCTGTGCAGGGTGGGCGGGAGGACACCTGCTCGGACACGGAGGAGGAGGCCAAGCCGGGGGTCTCATCCTCATCCTCCCAGAATAGCTCCAGTGAGTGCATCCCCTTTGCAGAAGAAGGCAACTTAACCATCAAACAGCGGCCAAAGCCCACTGGGCACCCCAAGGCCGACACGACCATCCCAGACACAGAGCCCAGTTCCCAGCCGGTGGAGCCCCCCTGCTCCACTGGGAAGGAGCCGGTGGTGCCTGCTGCTGCCAAGGAGCCGCCTGTGCCAGAGTTCAACCTCACTGAGTCAGACACAGTGAAGCGCCGGCCCCGCTTCAGGGAGCGGGAGCCACTGCAGGCAGTGCTGAAGGCATTCAGCATGGTGGGACAGGCTGAGGCAGGGGCCAGCCCGGGGCCCCCGTATGCCCGGGCCCAAGCAGTGAGCATTGCAGGCCCTGCCATGCCAGCACCAGCACCACAGGCTGGGCTGGCCGGGGATGCCTTTGATGACAACAGCGTGGAGTTCAGGATTGCCGAGATAGAGAAAAGCATCTTGTCACTGGAGAAGGGGATCAAGAAGGCACCAAGCCCCACCAAAGCCCCCAGCCCCGTGGAGCTGCTCAGCACCACCGTGGTGAGGACGCCCGCTCCAGGTACGTGGGCTTGTGGGGGTGTCTCTGAGGCAGTGGTGGGGTCTGAGGCTCCCTCCTGGGTTGGTACAGGAGGTGAGGAGGATGTGTGCCACCACGTGCCATGAGTCCCCTTCCTTTGCAGATGTCCCCACCAAGCACACCTCCGTGGCGTCCACCAAGCTAGTCTTCTCCGGGCCCAAGACCATCTACCATCAGGTCCTGCAACCCTCCCGCCATACTGTTGTTCCCTGGGAAGCCACCGAGGCAGTACCGGATGTGATCGGGTCGCTGGTCAGTCCTGGCTTGCTGACGCTGGAGGCGGGTAGCAAGGTGTCAGCAAAACCTTTGGCAGCTGCCCCAGGGGCCGCCCTGGCCCAGCAGCGGCTGGAACAGACCAACTCCACCCTGGCTGCTGCGCTGCAGGCGGCTGAGAAGATCACGGAGGAGGAGGCAGAAAGGTGAGGTAGCATTGGGGGTGAGGGAAACGCTGGGGTTGGGCCCCTTGAGGTGGCATTGGGAAGCCCCCAGCAAGGGCAGTTGGAGGGCTGTGCGTGGGCACGCGCCTGTGCCACACCAGGTCACACATGCTTGAGTCTGGCTGCATGCTGAGCTCTGGCTGCCGCCAGGAGGATCAAGTCCAGCTTGGCCAGTTCTACCCCATCAGCACCTGAAGCCTTTGGGTGCAGTTTTGACTCTCTCCCTTTTGTCCCCAGCCACCCTGGGGCCGTGCACTCGGCCAAGAACATCCTGGAAGACATCAGCAACATGTTCGATGACCTGGCTGACCAGCTGGATGCAATGCTGGACTGAGGCTTGCTCCCTCCTTCCCCTCCCCACCTCTGGCTGCTCTGCCAGTGCCCCTCGTGACAGGGGGAGAGCAGATCCAGCACTGAGTGGTGCCTCCAGATCTCTCCAGCTGCCTCCCTCCCTGCACTTTGCACTGCGGCTGGGAATGCAGCTGCCCCTCCTGGCTCGTCCCTGGCTCAATATCACATGTGCCAATGTGGCTGCGGGCTGGTTTCTGAGGGGGTCAGGCATTTCCCACCAGACTGGCAGCAGGAGGAGAGCCCAGAGGGCCCGCACATGTGGTCCTGCAGGCCATGGAGAAGACCTCACTCCCTTGCAC